TACAACTGTGATTTATGGCTTCAATTAGTTACTACAAGCCGGCAAAGTTTCGGCTAACGTTTTGTAGCCATCTTCAGGTCTCTGGTTTAAAGAGAAACTTAAGTTTTAATAAATAATTAATTCACGTTTCACTTTAAACCATAAGTCTGAAGATGACTAAAAAATGTTAGCTGAAACGTCGCCGACAAAACAAAACTATGTCTAATTAAAAAGAACTTTTTTTATTAATAGTAATATAGACAATCATAGCAAGAAAAAATTAATTATATTTCTTAGTGTGTAATTTCTGGAGATCTGAGTTCAGCCTTTTCTTAGTATGATGTGCGTAAGATTCATATGTGCGTAACAACACTGGTATTCCCTATAACTTCGTGTACGAGCATAGCAGAAAATCTTGTCTTATATCTCGACCGCGACGCAGCTCACGTCTGGCTGCAAATTAATCTGTTTATGGCCCTGTTTACTCGCCCGCTGTAAAGAACAAACTCTTGGATCGTGAGCAGGACCCAACAAATATAGTTTACAACATGCTCTTTTCATAACATTTGCTCTTAGGGTGGCATAATTTCAACTTGTGAACTTTACTTGCACCTTATTTTTTCTTTGTCATTTCCACAGTATAATGAAGGTTGAAAGTACTTTTCTAAATCCTAAGCAAACGCATGTGGATTATAATGTACATCATTCATAACATTTGATAATTTCGATTTACTTTTTTTTTAGTGTTAGCTATATCCAAAGTGGCTCATTTTTGTAATGTATTTCATATTTTAAAAGAACAATGGGATAAATGCCTCCCATACTTTCCCCAACTTTATCTCTATGAGGACAACGGATTAATTATTCAAACAATTGTTATTCACTCGGATTTATTTTTTTTGTTCCCATTTATAAGCTATCGGACTGGTCTCTCTGATTCAATGTCGTTAATTGACATCTTACGTCTTTTCTTGATCAATTTTCTTCTAAAAACACGTAGAGACATTAGTCTAAAAGGAAACGCAATAAGTGAACAACCAAATCTCCAGTATCCAAAAAACCTCCAGTATATCTAGAGAAGGAGTTGGGGGCTCATTTGAAAGCTTGGGAAGAGAGTCAATCTTTAAAGACGCATTTGTAAGGTGCAAAAGCTTAGTAGAGATTGCAAAGAAAAAGAAAAAAGTTCGTGCGTTCCAGCAGATTTTCTCCAAAGTTCAATTCAATAACTTTCAAAAAATGTACATGTAAAATATAGTTTACTTTTTTGTTGTTTATTTGCATTTCAGTTGTCCTATTATTTAAAGATTCAACAAAGACATCTAGTCTCCAATGTTGTTTCACTTGACAGGATATCATCCTTGTTGAGCTTTTTTACCTACATCAGGGATAAAGGGCAAAAGAAAATACAAGAAAGTGAGAATAAGAATGGAAAAAAATATCACAATTGGAAAGGAAAAAGATATACCAAAAAACCAGAGGGGGGAATAAAAATGTAAAAACAATTAAAAAAACGTTAAATTACACTACGTGTGGAACTATGCATTTCCCAATAAACGGTAAATGCATAACCGACAAAAAGTGTTATATCTCTCAAAAAATAGACAATGTTACAAAATTTAATAGAAGCGTCTTTCGAAAGTGTATAACTTAACTTCCGTGCCTCTTTCGTTCAATTTTATTAGTTCCTACCTTCCGTATCATGGTCGTGCGCTCCATTTTATTCCCTCTTAATTATCTATTTGTCTTACCAACCCCGCCAGCTTTCTTGTCTACAGCCATTCGATTCTAGAGAAGAAACTGAATGGCAACAATGGTTCAAACATTTTTAAACGCCGTAATGTTTTACTTGAGGCACTGAAAAAATTGAAGTTTAAATTATATTATTTCCCGCAAAAATACCTCAAAATGATTACTTCATTTGCACGTAAGATGAAACATCTTGAGATTTTCAAAATATGTTCATCACTCCAGGGGCTCCCTCACTTAATTAGAATTAGTAATTCTGATTTCCATTCTCCACAATATCAAATCGTTTAAATAACTAATAATAACCAAAAAATATTAACTTCAAATCTGATCGAAAAACAGAACTGAAGCAAGAAAGTATTAATTCCGCGTCTTATAACTAGTAACATGATTACATTTCAATTGTTGTTGTTATTATTATTATTATTATTATTATTATTAATAATTAGTAGTAGTAGATTTAGTGCAACAGCATTTCCCTGACTTTTATACTGCACGAGGGAGCCGAGAGCCCAGCATGCTCAGGACTCCCCCTTTATTAGGAAATAATTCAATACGAAAAGTGTACTAGGCATGTAGTGGGCAAAGTAGCATCACAAGAAAGGGAAAATTTAATTCTTGGAAGAAACTGGGTAATGTTCCAGCAAGTCGCCATCTATGTAAACAGTGCACCAAACGCGACAAAAGCCCGGAAACTTTGTAAATGCCTGTTTTCGAACATTAGGAATTAAATGAATGTCGAGAAATGGACAGCAAGTAAAAAAATAAAAATAAAAAAATCTTGAACAAATGCTAAATTCTTCGAACGAGCTCTTCTCAAATGGACGCCGTATGAGCAACACATTAGAAGTAAACGCGGATTTAAACATTTAGCACTACAATTCATAAGAACGGCGCGAGGAGACTTCCCCGATCCCAAAAATAAGAAGTTCAGGGGAGCTTTAAAATGAGGTCGGCGGGGGAACCCCTGAAATAGCTACAACCTCCTTCCCCACTACTCTATTCTAAGGATTCCAATCCCTACGCAATGTCAATGACACGGGAACATCAACTCCCTTTGACCTTTAAGAAAATAACGTTGCTCTTGATGCGAACAGCTTTGGCTGAATACACGAAGATTGGGTGTCAGTTTGGTAGATGAAGTTTGAGCGAATGGAACTTTATTAAATCCACAGCGAATATGTAGCACTGTCAAGCCTTCCTTTCTGATAAAATTACGTTATGTTTGTTACAACTGTATGTATATGTGTGTATGTGGTGTATTGTGTGTGTGTGAATGTGTGTGTGATACAGAGGATGGAGAAGGGGAGGAAAGAAAACCTTAATACAATTGTTGAAGAACTGCGCCGTTGGTCTGTAAGACAGTTTGGTCGAATAAAAAGTTATATTTTTCAACAACTTGAAACTGAAATAGGAATTCACATTTACACTTCTGAAATCAGGAGTAAAAACGTACTGATCTCATGCCTTCTTTAAATTTTCAGTTCTTTCGTTAAGTCCACGCTCTTTAAAATATTTATAAAATACTTAAGATTAAAAGATTCTTCATGCCTTAATACATAGGTATTTTAAAAGTTGATAAGAACAGGGAAAAATAATAATTTACAGACTCTCGATAACCTATAAATTTCACAAGTCGCACTTCTTTCTCAGAAACATGTGAACACTATGATCACATATTCCGGGATTTAGTTAGTAATTAAATGAACAAAAATATTTTTAAAATGTACCTGATTTGCCGTCGGCTACAGAATTGCACGCTGTCAGGTAATAAGACCACCATTAAATTTAACAACCAACCGGTATTTTTGATTATATAGTTTATCATCACCAGCGACTGTTCGCATATAACTTTTCAAATGTCGCCTATCATGGCCCACTATCGACCAATTGGCGGTATTCAAATTAAAATTTTGTTTGACCGTATGCACCTGTCAAATGTAGATAACATTACGGACAACAAAAGTTGGGCATCATAATTACCGGTCATTTCATTGATTCAGGATATGCAAAACTCAATAAAAATTATATGACATTCCGTTTAATCGAAACAAGACAGAAATTATTGATTGGAATGACACTTGACAAACGTAAGTAAATGTGAATAGAAAATTTTAATTCACCATGATTCGTTCTTTTCTTAAGTTAAGCAAATAGTTTATTAATTCGCCAACTTCACAACTATCGAAAGCCTGTAACAAATGTAATTAATATTTTTAGATAACATTATTAACAATAACTTTCTATGGGCGCAACATACACATCCCTATGGCCGGAGGCAAGTGTCGTCTCCCGGGACTTTGGCATGAGACCAATGCGACATACAGAACCATCTTAATAAAAATGTAATTCTTAATTTACAGTTAATAAAAACTACAACTTACTTTCCTAGTTCTTCTTTGAGCTCATAATTATCACTGAATCGAGTACAAGCTGCTGGAGCAGCCATACCGAAAACTACAATATTTACTTCACTACTGAAACGAACACACTACGCTACGCAACTGAATGCTCCGGAGTAATCGATAATACTTGGTCCAGTGCGAAGTAATATAAATATTCTTGAAAGAGATCAAACGCATATATAACACATACAATTATTTACAATATAATTTTATAAACTAAATTGTTGGTACCTGTGAAATTCATATACAAATCTATAGAATGTATACTGAAATTACTTGTACAAGATATCAGTGTTACCAACAGCACCGTGAAATAATGACATGGAATTCCTAAGGAGACGCCAAAAGGGAAGAGATTCATCTTATTTGAACGGAAAAAATAAAACGAAATTAATTTAAGTATATTTTATTTATTTACCCTTCATCTTTCTGTTACATCTAAATAATATTAAAGAAGAATTAATTAGTAATTATTCACATTATTGCTAAAAATTACGTTCAGGTAACTTTTGATTTAAACACCAAAATAAAATGTATTTAACCTACTGTCAATCATAACTTTCGAAAATGAAACCATCCATCTATAGTGCTATTTATATAATGAAATTCTTAATTTAAAAAAAGTATAGATCAACAAGGGATACTAAATATGACATTGCAGGTATGTATTGTAGGGTAATCATAAATATTCTATCAAAACTTCATTCCCTTCTAGATTTTAATGAAAATTGAAAAGTGAACAGTTAAAAACATCTTACTTCATATCTTACCTGATATACATATTTGTCAAAGTGAAAAATGTGCTAATATAACGCTTTGAAAATGTCCTAATATAACTGAGAAATGAGGGGATCAATAAGAAGAAATTCATAAAAATGCCAAAAAATTTATTTCATCTCAATTGCATCTGGAATGTCACTATATTGTGAGTGACAATAAAAATCTTTAAAATAGATTTACAGATTTCTTTACCATAACAAAGCAGCAAGAAAAGAGGCATTTCCCAAAACTGTACCAGTAACAAAATTAAAATAGCTCCAAAAGCAGACACAGTAATACAAAAACTTATTTGTGAAATATTAAGTAACCTACTGAAGTAAATGAAGATGGTTGCAAACAACACTATTAAAAAAAAAAACAGTTTTATACTCGCATCTTATTTTAAATTTATTCCCACAAAATAACAATTAATTCACCAATCTTCACCTTCCCAAAATAACTATAAATATCTTAGTTACTTTAAACATTATTTACATTTAATTCTTGACATGTAATTTTAAAAACAAATTTATTTTTTATTGTCAGCAAAAATGAATTAATAATTTTATCAACTATTCATACAATAAAAACATTTATAATATTTTAGTTGAACAAGAATTTTCATTTGATTTTTCACGTTTCAATTTTTGGTCAAGAAACACAGTGTAATATTCTATAAACAAAGTCATTTATTGTCCATCTAAGTTTCTTTGTCATGAACTGTATCAACATATATGGTCACTTTGAAACTACCAGGTATCTGCAAAATCACACTTGTCTTTCTCCAGATGTAGCCAGATTAGGGATTTGAGAAGTGAAATAAATAACAGTTTTTTGGTCAAACAATGGCATTGAAAATATACTTTTTTGCCAAGCATGAATTAAGTATTCACTGATACACAACAAATTAATTTTCATGCATTAAATGCAATTTAAAAGTAATATTCAAGCAACCAATGCTTATAAATTGTAAATATGCATTAGATTCTTAAGATGTTTTAAAATACAAAATCAAATATATCCATTATTTTTGTATAAATCATTCATATAACCAACTGATCTGCAATTCATTGCACTTCAGAACTTAACTTATAAATTTACTCCTTGATCATTTTCAATACTTAGCAAAATTACAATTAGTCATTTCTTTACATTCAAAAGAGAAAAATGATCAATTCCTTATATTTTGAATGTCCCTGTTTAATTAATTGTCTCTATTATCAGTATTAGATTTAGTTTTTAAAATAAATTCTCTTAATTTTTTTTCTTCTTTTTTTTTAACATGAATTCCACTTATCATAAAGTATTCTTTACATTATAAAATTTCTAAATGTACGTAGAATCATAATTGTTCATCTTTCTTTTCTCATAGAAACAATCTACACATCCATACATATATACATTTCCACAAATATATTATACTACATTCATACTTTCATTGATATAAAAACATTGCTATTCACACACAAAAAATCAATTCCATTATTAAATAATGGAATTTAAAAGGGAATGAATACATACATGCTTTGGAATTAAATGCATGTATTTTTGGATTTTTAAATAATAATTTGTATAAAAGAAATGTTCTCGAGGTAAAATAACTTTTAAAATACAAATTTCTGCAAATTACTCATTTAAATGTAATTTTCAAGAGATATGTGCAGCATCCTAAAGATGTTTAGGTTTCCAACAAAAGTCTTTTTTCATTCTCTTGAATAAGGATTTCATTTCTTCGTAGAGTAGAGCAGAATAATTAAGAGAATTTAATACATTAACAAATTCATCCAAAATTTTATTCAACAGTGACAGATTTAGCCAAATTCCTTGGACAATCAACATTGCATCCTCTGAGTACAGCAATGTGATATGACAACAGCTGCATCGGGATTACAGTCAATATTCCCTGTAAAAAAAAAAAAAGGAAAAAATAAAAGTCTTTATCAATATGGCTGAAATATATGATTACTAAAATAACTATCTTAATTTCTAAAAAGAATTAATTACAACATTAGCCTTCATGCCATGGCTGGAATATTGTGATTACTTCAAGATTAATTTGTGGAAAAAATGTGAATCATTTTATTATATATACCTGCAGACAATCCACAGTACGAGGTATTTCAAGACTCTTGAATGCATAACTTTGGGTTTCTGTATCACCTTTCTCACAGATTACAATAGGTCGACCTTCACGAGCTGTGACTTGCTGGACAGCATTCATGCATTTCTACAAGTAAAGAATTGTGACTTTAATAAAAATCACCAAATCTATGAGTAATAACAAATATGGAAGATTATAATTCTAATCAATTTTAGTCAACATTGTAAATTTTAAATGATAATAGTAATTGTAGTAATGCTTCACGTATTGTCCCTTGTATTTTTAACATTTATATTTTATCCTCACATTTTTAAAACTTTTGAATAAACTAATCATTGATTAAAATATTTCCGATCACACTTTACTATTTCATTCCTCAACATTAAGAAATTATTTTAATACTCTCAATAAATATTCCATACATTTTCTAAATATTTTGTTACTTACAACATATACAGGATCTCTCATGATAATCATGAGAACAGGCATATTTTTGTCAACAAGAGCCAGTGGTCCATGTTTAAGTTCTCCAGCCATAATGCCTTCACTATGCATGTATGTCAGTTCCTTGACTTTCTAAACAGTAAGTAAAACATACAAATTTATTTTAATCTAATTACAATAAGTCTTGCAAAAATTGAAAGTAAATAACAAAACACAAAACAAAATGGAAAATAAAATACAATAAAACATACCAATGCACCCTCTAAGCATGTAGCAAAATTAAATCCACGACCCATGATCAAGAGAGACTTATGCTGATACAAATCTTTAGCCAATGCCAGTACTTCATCATCTAGTTTCAGGACTTCACGAATCTGCTCTTGAAGATTCTCCAGACCTTTGATTATCTGCATTTAAAAAAAAAATCCTTCATCAGTAAATAGGGCTTTCAGTAAAAATAATCACTCTTAAATTGAACTCAGAGAATCTTTTTAACTTGATAGCATATTTTATAAGAACTAATTCATGAGTTCAAACCAAGAAATATAAACAAAAAGTTACCTCGGCTCTGCGAGACTGAAGAGAAATTCTGTCTTCGCTCAACACAAGAGCAAATAAGACAAGAGAAATAAACTGCGAAGTGTAGGCTTTGGTGGAAGCAACACCTATTTCTGGGCCGGCATTAATGTGCACACCACAATGCGATTCTCTGCAAATGGAGCTGCCTACAGTGTTTGTAATACCAACAATAAGGGCTCCACGATTCTTGCAATATCGTAGGGCCATGAGAGTATCTGCTGTTTCACCTAAAATATGAGAAGATACGATTAAAAATTTGCTGATTGAGTCGTAATGCATCTGAAAAAATTATTAACATTTCTACTTCAGTCAACATTTACATGGCAACAGGACGGAAGTCATGATCAAAATGGAGATCAAGAATATATGTAACTTAGATAAGATTTATTAATTTTACTGACTTACCAAATTAGGATCTCACATTATTAAATGAAAGCCTTAAGCATGACAAGTTTTATTTTGTTGAGACAGAGATATTACAATTATTATTCTTTTTCTTTTTACGCTTATAAGCATATAAATCTATATTATTCACACACAAGTAAATATATAAATCTGAATTTATGGTAAATGGTGGTTACACTGACAGAAAAGTTTGTCTTCTCAAAATAAAATATATATACATTTGTTCTTTATCAAATATGTTGTAAAGATTCAGAAAATCTTAGGTCTTGCAAGCTATTAATAGCATGTAATTCATTCCCTCTAGATATTGTTCATGGTCCATCTAAGCACATGTCTACTCAATTCTCTCCTCCCAAAACAGCAAAATTTTAACCATGTAACAATGCTCAAAAATGTGTGTCAGTGTACAAAAATAAAAAGTAAATTAATTGCTCACCAGATTGTGAAATAAAGAAACAAACGTCGTCCCTAAAGACTGGAGTATTACGATCCAAAAAATCGGATGCCAACTCCACCATTACAGGTAATTCAGTCAATTCTTCCAATAACTGCCGAGTTGCAATCGCACTATGATAACTTGTTCCACAACCAATCAACATCAGTCGACGACACCGTCGAATTTCAGGAATGTAATCCTAGAAAATATATATTCAATAATCACATGGAACAATATTCAATATTACTTTGTAACTCAAACTTCAAGTAAACTGCATATATAACTAATGAATATAAGTAGTATGAGAAAAATTAATTTTATAGTTATTGGTGTGTATTGTGGTAAACGCACCTTAATGCCTCCAAGTACAACAGAACCAGTTTCAAAATTAAGACGACCTCGCATTGTATTCACAACAGACTCAGGTTGTTCAAAAATTTCCTTCTGCATAAAATAGCTGTAATTACCTACAATGCAGTAAAATAATAATTAAGCAAGAGAAAAGACAAAATATAAATATAATGAAAGAACAAACAAGAAAGGAAAGAAAGAAAAGGAATTACCTTTCATAATCTGCTGAATTTCCATCTTCAGGGTAATAATTTCACGAGAGTGAGATTCATCCAAAGTTCGTCGAAGTCTGTGAATACTCAAAGAACCTTCCTTAACAGCAGCAACATCATCATCCTAGAAAAAAAAAAAAAGAAAAAAAGAAAGAAAAAATAGATTTAGCATAAATTGAACACAAGAATTTGTTTGAAGAGAGTAGTCTTTATCATATAAATAAATTAAATATAATAGAATATAAAGGACTGTGCAGATATACACCAGATCTATAATTGATATTTTAGTAATAGATCAAAGTAATTTCTCACAACTTTTATCTTGTTTCAACTAATTCCATTTTCCCCCCTTTTCATGTTGAGTTAAATAACAATGTGTTTAACTTTTAATTTGTAAATTTATTCTCTAATATTTTTGTTTATATATAAAGAACTTCTCAATTTATAAATAATCTATTAATGCCTATTGGATTGTTAACTCCCTCTAAAGTTCATAAATTTCAAAGATCAGTTCTAATAAATAGAATACAATGAACGGAAAGACAACAAACAATATAATAAATATAACTCAACCAAGTTGAGAGTGATGTTAACAGGATTGCACCACTGTCTTTGTTTACAGCCAAAACAAGAGGGATGGAGATATAAGAATACTCAACTCAAATTAAAAATGGGACCATGCCAAACTGTTGTATGAAAAAAGCGCAATTTATTTTGTCACAAATCTAGTGTCTACCCAATATGTATTTTAACTGTATTTGGGAATGTCTGCATCTCATATTGGAATAAACAGAAGTTTACTTTTTTCTGCAAAATGAATCAAAATTTTGATCGAATTTCTTCAAAGATCAGAAAACTTTTACTGTAACATTCATATAAATCAGTTAATTTAACTTTAGTAAATCCTCAAAATATATGCCAAATAAAATTATTTTTTATGCAAGTAGCAACTATAATTATATATTGAAGAAAATTGTAGATTCTTATGACAGTGAAGTTTTGGTACTTTATTGCATACCTAACAAATCACTTAAAGTCTGCTTAAAAAAGATGAATGAAGAAGAATACAAACTGTTTAAATTCAATGAAAAAGTAATAAAAATTGATATAAAAAGAAATATTTTTTTATTATATTCATGTAATAGAAAGGTAAAATTTTAAAAAACCCAACTTAATGTGACAACAAAAAAATAGTGAATGCAAATCTTGCATAATGTGCATCTGAAGGTATATTTCATCAGCTGATTCCATAGAAGCACCAGTCTCTGATGCCATATGAGTTTCCTGGCTGGTGTCTGAGAGTGTGTTGGGTCACTAGATGATTTCCAGAACAACACTTATTAAAAGATCATCAACAGCATTTTGAAGCAAAACATCCCTATCCCAGTATTTTTTTGCTATTTTATTGGTATGAGTGACAGCTTTTTTACAATTTCCTATTGTTATTTTATCAATTGCTTCTGATGTCATATCTTTCAATTAGAAAGTGACACTTGATATGTTTCTTTTGCTCACCTTCATTTTTACTAACACAAAATTTAATTACATTACATGTAAGGTGTCATGCCTGCCAGAGAAGTGTCACATCTCAACGAAAAATCGTATTTCCTATATCTTCACACATAAACAACTCGCTTTAAGCTCCTCCCAACTGTTGTGAGCGAAACAGATTGTATAGACCCCTGTTTACACTGTTTGTTCCATGACGCATCACAATCACTGCCTTCTTTCTTCACCTGGTTGAGTCGAGTCACAATTGTCATTTACACAAAAATTCTTGATCCCCCCAATAGATACAACAGAATAGCAAAGGGTTACAATACAAACAAAAACATATTTTACAAAATAGGCTCTACACTAAACATATAGGAATATAGGCTAATAATTTTTGTACTGTGTTGTTAGATGCTGAAGGCAACAATAAATGCATTAGCAACTATGAGAAGTGAGAGTAAGAATATTTAGTTTTCCTATTTTCCATTGAGAATTGCTAAGTTCCTTTGTGATTCTATTTTCTGACATAGAAGAATCATACACTTCATCAATATACAACATATTTTTTACTTAAAATACATTGCCAATGCATGACTTTTTAAAACAAAGAAGACATTGCAGTGAAGAAGTACAATATTCTTACATGCATATTTGTTTATTTATTAATTAAATTTATTTACTTGAGTTACGCTACTTTAGTAATTTGTTTGATTTATTATCATAATAATTGTCATGTTTTTTTTTAAATAACATTTATTTTTTTCCATTTTTTAGTTCTTATAGGTTCATATAATACTCTCCGAGTCCATTGAGTTGTCATCAATTCTTCTTTTGGATCTTTTCCATTATACATATTGACTAGCCAAAAGTACTCAGTTCCCTTGTTTATTAGGAATGGTTCTTTTATTGATGGAGAAAATTTATATTATTTTGAGAAACATTTAAATTAGCACTTCACAACTACTACTAATCACTTCACAATATTTTACTGATTTTGCGATATATAACTATAGACGCTTTTAATGTACATCACTTCACAATATGTACCACTGAAGCACCTAACACTCAAGAATAAGCTATAAAATACATATTTAGGAAACCTTTGCCAACTCATTCCACATAATTTTCTAAAAATGTTTCAATGTTTATTTGTTCTTGTTGAAATTGTTCATTATTTTAAGAAGATATAAACATATAAAGTTTGAAACATAAAAAAATTGTTCTGATCATAAACAGATTACCTCTTATTAAAAATAGTAATATTAAATATTAAACAATTCAGCCCTATTATTAAAATTTTTTTAAATATTAATATTTTAAACAATTTATAATATCATAAACAACAAATACAATGCTTAAATTGCTACAATCACTTACATTTCATTAAAAAAATAAATGAATAATACACAGAATAAACACAATATTATTTCCTCTAGACTATGCTTACTCTTTATAAAACTTAAATAGTCCACCTGTAACAATAGACAATCATAGAACTGTGTTATTACCCACTTACTTATTCAATAATGTGAAAGATGGATGCACATTAGCAGTTCTTTATTTAGTGATTCTGAAATAAATGCCCTGCACTTCAACTATATTGAAAGGAAAATTACTGTAATGACAATCTTCTTTAAAAAAATAAAACTTTGTTAAAAAAGAAGCTTATAATCAGTTCTACAATAACTTTTGTACCCTTATGTTTAGGTTTAAGAATTATGAAATTTGCGGTTGTGGTAGTGGTGGTGGTGGTGGTGGTGGTGGTGGTGGTGGTGGTTGTAATTTCTTCTATGGTGATTGTTGCTAGGTGGTTGTGGTTGTGGAAGCGGTCTTAGTTGTGGTAGTGATGGTAGTTGAGAAGCGATGGTAGCTGAGGAAGAGATTAGTGGTTGTGGCAGTGACGACTTTGATTGTGGCAAGGGGGATGGTGGTTTTGGTGGCTTTGGTGGTGAGGTGGTGATGATGGTGATGGTGGCTGTAGCTACAGTAGTAATAGGCTCTTGTGAGGTGTTGGTGGTGGTAGTAGTGGTTTTGTTTGTGAAGGTGGTTGTTTCTGGTGTGGTTATGATTATGGTGGTAATATTATTGATATAGGGGTGGTGGCTGTTGCAGAGGTAGTGGTGGTTGTTGTAGTGGTGGTGGTCATGGAGATTTTTGTTGTGGTGGTAACTATAGTTGTGGTGGCAGCTTTGGGGGTAATCATTGACCCCCAAATTGTTGCAGTGCCATAACTTTTATTTTTTTAACTGATATTTTCATAGAATATTTCAGTGCCTCTTTTGCCTGCTCAAAAACTTATTATAGATCATCTTCAGAATCTGTTATGATTGTTCAATTGTAAACATATAAGATTGTATCTTTTTGTCTTTCCTGATTTGGTTACCTTGTTTAATTTTCTTCCTCCAGTTTCGCACTAAGTGGTTGATGTATATGATAAAGAGAGTAAGCAACAGACCACATCCCAGTCTTAGGCAGTCTTTTTCCCATCTCTTTACATTATTTTAATAATGTAAAGAGATTTCATATAAACACGGGATTGCATTGAGTTTAAATGATTTGGAATTTTCTCCTCTTTCAGTATTTCCCAGAGTTTGTCTGTTTACTCTGTTGTATGTCTTTTTGTAATCTATGATTATAAACTATAAACTATAACCGTTGACTATAACTACGGTTGACAATGACTATAAAAGTTAGTAAATTTTTATCTCTTCTTTTGAATATTATCATCTGTAATATGAAGATGGCATCTTTATTGCTCCTACATTCTGGAACTCACACTGTTTGTCTCCCATGAAATTCTCAGCTATTACATTGACTGTCTCTCAACATGTTTGCATAAAGTTTTGATGCTGTTGATAATAGTATGAGGCCCCTATAGTTGCCACAGCTCTTCCTTAAGCCTTTTTTGTGAATATTCATGCCCAAACCCTCTATTGATATTTTCCTCTCTTGCCATACATTATCAAAATGAACTAAAAAGAAACATAACTAGAACATTTCCTCCATATTTTAGAAGTTGTAGGTTGATTTCATCTGATAAGGGTCTTTTCCTATTTTTTGATTTCTTTAATACTGTCTCTAGTTCTTCAATATTCTAGGGTATGCCCATATCATCATTGTCACTATTGTCATCTATTTCTTCTATCTCTTTGTTTGTTCTAGGATCTAGATTGTTCCATTTGGGAGGAGTGTTTTATCCAGTTTTCTTTAGGGATACAGTCTAGTGTGGTTTTGTCTTTCATGTGCAGATTTTCAAAAATTTGAATTTCATTAGTTGGGGACCAGAAATGACTCTTTTTTGATAAATACATTTTTGATAAATTTTCTCCAGTCTTCTCGTCCGCATATTCTGCTTACACATCTTACTTTGGCTCTTGGTTTTTTATATTAAATGTAATGTTTCGCTGTTTTTTTCTGAAGGTAAGATCTATATCCTTGTTTCCTCTGATTTACTATCTCTTTCAAGTCGTTGTCCCACATTCTCCAAATATAATTTATTAACATTCTAATCAATGTAACATTGAAATATGCATCTTACATTACTCAAAAAATTTTGTTATTTACCTCATAAATATATATTTCTATAACTTGGGAACAGAAATGTCTAGTTTTCCAAATTTTGCTACTGTGCACTTTTTTTTTTTAAATATCATTATTATTATTATTTTTATTTGTTTTTTACTTTTACTCATTTTTCATCTATTTATAGGTAAAATGATGGGAAGGGACTCTGGAACTCAAGAAAAGTGCGCAGATTATCTTCTCCCCCATAGGTTACATACAGTTTTTTACTGTTTTTTGACTAAATAAATCTAATCTAAAATATTATTCAATTTAAACAATGTATTTCTTTGGTTCAAGACCTATGAAAGTTATGCTGTTTTAAGAATTATTTTTAAACACATTCGAGTTACGAAACTTACCTCAAGGAAAATCACTCTGTTGGTGTGTTCAATAACAGCACTAGCATCTGAAGCAAAGAAATACTCCACCTCCTTGTCTTCCAAAGGTTGAAACTCTGCTGTAGAGTCTGAACGAGGTAAGATTGGTATCTCACCCCTGCCATGAGGACGGTGATCTAAAAAATATTAGGCAAATGAATAGTAGGTCAAATAATACATTCACTGCCTATTATATTCTTTTTACTCTTGTTAATACAACGAAACAAAATTTTGAAATTTGACGTTTAAAATATGAACTTGCAATTTTGTTTACTATTAAATAAGTTTAAAAATCATCAAGCTTTAACACGAATTATGAAATATCATTGTAGTAGAATATTTATTAGAATTAATTATCACAGTAATCATTGACTTCTAACTTGAACCATTCAAAAAGAACTTGAGCAATGGCTATTTTCAAAATTCATAAAGAAATTTCAAGATGAAATTTCTAGACCTAGAACCAACTTCAGGAAAATTATTGAAATTGAGAGAAATGTAAAATAATAAATCCAGATGAATCAGGGAGTCCATAAAAGCAACTGATAAACATGGCAACAAAGGGGAAAAAATTGAAATCTTGCAATTTCAAATAAATTATTTAACCATGCAACTACAGTAATTACAACTGATTCAGATTTGTTAAGTTACCTTAGCTTATGCCAGCACCCAAAAGAAAATAAGAAGAACCAACAACCATTCAAGATATTCCCATGGCAAAGACAATTAAGATATTATTATTCAGCTATCATTGTAACTGAATTCCTACAAACTAGCTGCAACATATAAGACATCACTTTCAAAAGCAACAATATTTCAATGACAACAGGATTTGGTGCAATTGCAGACCAAGACAACTTGATTTCAACAAAACATTATCGGCGAGAATAAACACAATTAACTTCATCCTTCACCAACCTTGTATTAAAAAACATTGGAGTGTATGTATTCAAATAGACAAGACCTAAACATAATAGCACATATTCAGGATTTCAAAAAAAGCAAAGGCAAACTTGTGTTTTCAAGTGTTTTGATATCAAAATTAACACAATCATGCAAAGGTAAGCAGAGGAAGGAAGAGAGACAGAAAGAAAGAAGTCCGAAAATATAAAATAAAAATCAACCTGTACCTGGGTTTTGTGCCTCTGCATCTAATGAAGAGCAGGTACAGAATTTATAAATGGAAAAAAAGAATCGTGAAAATTAGTACAACGTACACAAAGTATATAATCCATGCTAAAATGAAAAAAAAATAAAAAAATAAAACAAAACACTGCATGCTTAAAAAAAATTAAATTATTAAAATAAAGTGAAAAATACTAAATAATGTATCCCTTTTCAAAACATGGGAAGATTTTTAAATCTTATTTCCAACAAAAAGATTAAAGAATTGTTCATATAGCACATGCAACCATCTCGAGCTTCAACACTAACCCAACTATTTGATCACTTTCCCTGAATTATTACCATTAAAAACAGTATGTTGTGAAGAAATGTAAATGTACTACAGAATGACAACCTTCTTTTTCAATATTACCTCCAGAATGACAACAGCAATAGTAGGAACAACTTTGCATACATTAAATTATTCAATCCTAAGAATTAGGTTTTGACATTTTGAATAGACTTAAGAAAGACAACATGTTAAAAAGAAGATTGCCATTAAAAATCAACAAGAGAAAATATAGTTAGATAAGTTTGTCACAAACAAATATATTTCATTGTATTAAAAAATATTTGTTTCATAAAACAGACATTCAGGTTTTCCATTGACTTTTAATCTTCTACTTGGCAGTAGTTTATAGAAATAACCCAAAGAAACATTTTTCCAAGATTATTTCTCACTGATAACATACCTCTTTCTTTTCATTTCCTAAAGATACCTTCATTTCTATATTAAATAAAACATTTAACTCTATTCATTAAAAAATGCAAATGATTTGAAGTAGATTTCCTTGTAAACTTTTGTGACCATAAAAAACAATGAAATACAAAAGCTGAGAAAATTGAATAAGAAGATTCCATAAGTACAATGCTGCTAAAACCATCAGCACTTTCAAAATTGCAGGAATTATATTTTGCTAGAATGATCTAGCATTGAGTCAATCTACTACATAGTTAGATTTCATTTTGCCATGTGAAACAGGTAAACTTATTATTTTCTATACATTAAGTAATCTTTATATCCAATGTTAGTAACAGAATCACTTTAAGATAAATGAAAATATTCACAATGTACCCATTCCAAGACTTTCCCATTAGGCCCTCCATGTAAATTGAGCAACATTTTTTTTAATTACTTTGCATTTATAACCTTCTCATCAAACTAACATTATATATACTGTACGGTCAATAATGAACCTAATTTCTTATTTACTCCCCTTTTAACATGCTGAACATTCGATTACTTTAAATATAAAATGTTATCTGTTTTGCATAATTCCAAGTTGCACTTTCAAAGACTGATAACACACTTAATTTTTAGTGACATGTGTAAATTAAAAAATCCAATTTTTAAAGTAAGTTTATCTTTATTTTAACTATTGTCCTATCATAAATGACTACACATAATTTACACATGCAATATATTCTTTTCCCCAAAATGTGTTCATTAATACAATGTAGAAGAACAGGAAACACGAGAAAGCACCAATGTTCTACTGTAGCTCACATTAACTTGTCATTTGCAAAAAATTACCCACCAACGGGGAAAAATGAGACACACTCTTACACATGTTTTTTGTTGTAATTATTTCTTTGACTATCCTGTGAACTTAAAAACAACACCTTAAAAGGGGGAGATATGCACAGAACCACTACAGAAAATGAAATTTAATAAGATGTGAGATATCATTAATTATATTCCCAGAAAAAATAAAAAGTACAACAACCAAAAATTATTCAAATTGTAAATGAACTGTGAGTTAATACCAAGTTGTATTATGGCATCTAATTGATTTTGTTGACTATCAAATAAGTCATAGTATTTACATGTCTATACAATAGCTTAAGAGACAAATAAGGGGCAAAAATAAATTCAACAATAAGTTTGTATGTTGATCAGTTAATAACACATTTTTCATTGCCTATGATTTATTCCTAGAAGGGCTGATTTCTCTCAAAAATAGCTTTAACAATTGGAAAATTAACTAAATTTATTTATTACATAATTAATCTCAGAAAACAAGAGCTTTACCAGTGATAACAACATACTGTTCGCAAAAAAACACTGTTTAATATTTCAAAGGTAAGAATTAAATACATATACTGTATTACATATGAAAATAACATTTCTATAAATATTACCATGCTTTTAAACTTGAAGCATTTTATGAAAATATATTTCAATTAAAATTTATTTACAAGAACTACTGACCTTTTCTATAAAATATATTCATATTTGTAGGTAACAATATCATTTTGTGTATGTAATAAAAATACATAATTGTTTTAAATTTCACACAATAATAATTCTCACATTTTCAAGTAAAAAAATTCCTACCATTCCATTCCTACCAATACCATCCTACATAATCATGCAATGTTAAACTTCTTTGTAAGCTTAAAGATACATAAAATTGCAATTCAAGAAGCATTTTAACTTGAAATTTTTGGGATTGTACTTATGAAGGCATTTCTTTGCAATTTTTAAAAACTTTGGCAAATATATTTCTCTAAAAACAAATACGTAAGTTCTTTGCATCACTCTACATTGTACCTCATGAACTTCATTGAGTTTTCCGAAATGTATGAAGATTCCTAAATTTGAAACATTCCTTCTCTCACAATGTCTGATTTCATTATTCCTACCTATAAGCATTTTGTAATATTTTAACACCACATGAATATAAAGCTTTATGAATATCACATGTTTAAAACTAATTTTTATCTCGTGTTTTTATTTGGCATCACATATTCAGTAATTTTCTGCCAGAAAGGAATGCTTCAGCTTATAAAGTAGTTTCAACTCAGTTGTATTAAAAATAACACAATCTCTTATTTTCTTTGGTTTTACAGAAATTATATGAAATACTACAATTTTATGTTGTTAGCACTTTCAGCACTTTCTTAGTCATTTCTACTTCATCTGATATTTGAAAATAAAATTAATTTGTTATTGGTTCAGGCCTGAATACTTGCTGATATAACTCACTGTTCATATACGAAAAAAATTAATGTTCAGATATAAAATGCGTGTGTACAGCTGTTCACTGACCCCAAAGTTTTTACCACTGTCTAAGAAAGTCATTAGAAAATCAGTATCCTTTACATAAACCACCAATTAATATCTATAAACCTTGTAATTACATGTGAACACAAAAAGGAAAGATCAAGAAAGAAAAAGAAATGTTTCACAATAAAAGGAAAGTAAAATCTAGAAACAGAGAGAAACTGAAGTACTACCTGACTTAATTGAAGTGTCATCTGTTGGTGCCATTGTGTATCAATCAGGTCATGCAAAAACAAAAAAAGAAAAAAACAATCATGACATTACTTCAGGGATGTCATGCACAACTTACATAATGATGAATGTAGATGAATGTTTGTTAAGCTCAAGCACAATACAGAGGATAGAATTGTAAGGAGTATGATACAACTGCTCTCCACCTACAAGGTTACTCTGTAAAATTCATGCATTTGGGTACAAAAATGTCAAATCATGCATTCACAAATTTCCAATAATTCAAAACATCATTTTCAATATTTTTGCTTTGTGCACTCTGATGAAATGAACTCCAAAGAAATTTGATAATATACTACTTTAATTAAAAAATAAAAAGAATACATTAATCAAGTTAATTTCTGTCCTTAAAGAATTAGAGATATAAATCAATTGGACATAATAACAATAAATTTCCAAATTGAAGGTATAAATGTATTGGACATGAAATCAATTTCTAAAGATATAAAACTACTAAATTACAATGATGTCACCATTAGGTTATTTAGAATTATTTACAGTTTGAATTTTTGGAAGATTTGGAATTCAATAAATTTCAGTGGTAACTTCCAGCATGCACATGCACTATAAACCAAATATAGGATGATACTTCATGGTATATTACAATACAAAGAGTTTACTCAGTCCAGCAATTCATGCAATACAAACAAAATTATAGCAATAAGAAGATAATCAGTCAATGTGTAACGTGTAGCATATGTATGTTACAAAAGCAATTCTGTGCATGTTCAATTGTCAGCACATGATTTAGGCACAGGGATGAGTGCTGCTCAACATTCCATAAGTTACAGACACTCTATACTTTTATTTCAGTCAAGCAACAACATTTTCATTGCATTTACCTTCAGATCAGTATATTAAAATCAGATCAGTCACATTTTTCTTCCCTAGTGCTATTTCAAAATTTTTGAAAAGAAAAAGAACCTAATGTTACTACTTGACTACTAGTCAGAAGAGTTCTTAAATTTCCGTAGGCAGAATTGTTCTGTTGAAAAATGAAAACCATAAGAAGATGCAAATCAAATTTCAAGTTAGATTTTTCAGTACCCAGCACTTTGATGTCTCAGAAGGTCAAGTTCCTTGTACCATAAAAAAGCTTTCTCTTTAGCAGGGGAGTGTTACTAATAGCCATTCTGTTCTTCTCTTAACTCATTGTACATAAAGTACATTAAAACCAACACCATTCTCATCAACACTGGAAACCAGTATTAGGCATTCTGTGCTTGTAAAGGCAAGCAACAAGTTTCCTTTTAAAGCATCTCCGGCTTCCCAAGCATTGTCAAATGACAATGAATAAGAACGTAAATGTGAATACTCTCTTAAATTCTAAGAAAGGAATAAAGACAATATTGAATCATTAATATTTGAAAATGAATAAGAAAAAATAACAAAATTCATTGAATAATCCAGATAATTCAATGAACCATCATGAACACTACAAGATGAAAATATTATGTAGTTTAGAAGCCTTTAAAATGAATTTTTATGATAATTTTCATTCATGTAACACATCAATTGTACATTATATAACAAATGAATGTTAAAAATAGGAAAATGATTTATGGTTTAGACATATCTACAACTACACTTTTGTAATTTCCACAGTATCATTTAACATACCTTTGCTGTACAAAATGGGCACATGATCAGTGGCAAGACGAGTCTTGGCCTTAATACCCACCAAAAGAGGGCTACCCCGCCTTGTTGCTACACATTCACCAGGAAAATGCTTACTCTTGAAGCACAAAGCAAAAGCCCCTTCCTAGAAAAAGTTAGTTAAATTAAACCTCAAAAAGTAGAATATTAATTTAAAATAACTGATTTATTTTAAATCATTGTTTTTTTTCTTTCAACAATGATTTATCTACATTATTAATTAACAAACATTTTAGCACTGATTGATTTTCAATAGAAATAAAAACAACAATTCATAAGAATACAAAATCCTACAACTTGAATTAAATTCTTAATAGATACAAAAACATTACAGATAATGAGGGGTTCTAACAATTTTATCAAAGGTTAATTTATGCTTGGGCAATTGTAATGCTTTCCAAATAAGAAAGCAAAACCAAAAGGTTTCCTTGTCTTAGCCTTTTGATAAGTGGATTTTGGGCAATGTAATGAGTCAGAAGAAATTTAACAATTTAGGTGCTACTACTAATTCTATGGTCACAGGTTAAACGTTCTTAAGTAGATGGTTTAGTTAAGGACTTAAGAAGTTTACCCTGTAAACACAGAATTATTTCTAAGGTTTTACAAATCTCTTTAACATAACAGGATATTCATGAACAGAAGTGTTATAAGATCCAGTGGTATCCAAGATGAGTACACATGGTGACACACAAGACCCACTCAGACAAATCCCACTCTATTTCCATTCTTTTTCTCCATACTACACAGAGTCAAGGAAAAGAAAAAATATGTAAATTGGTATGTATTAACTTACAAGTTGCTGAATTACTTGCTCCACTAATTCCCGGAAAGAATACGTAGGATGCTGAGTATATAAATGCAACACCAATTTAGCTATAACTTCAGTATCGGTATCTGATTCAAAGCGAAATCCTTTCTTCTCCAGAAAGAGTTTTACATCCTTATAGTTTGTCACAATTCCTGCAAGGAGAACATGCATTTTCTTTCTCAAATTAGTACATACTTTTGTTGTTTGCATAACAATATGATATTCTTTTTATTATTAATAAAAAGGAAACAAAACACCTTGCTTGTATCATCATTAAAACATTTCAGGTAAAGAATGACCCCCAAAGTATTCTTCATAAAAGCAATATTAAACAATACTATGCGCTATTAATTCTTTGAAGTTTAATAAGTAATAAAATCAGCATTTTCATATTATTTTCATAATTTTAATATATTTCCTTGGAAGCAGCAATTTTTATCACTACATTTTGATACACAAACAATTCACTACTCAACAGTTGAACAATTGTAATAAAAATTTGCAACCAAGTTAGAAAGATCCTGTAAGTCTACTTACAGTAATATTAAATAATGTATCACATTGCTCACCATTATGGACTACAACAAAGCTGTGGTTGACATCAGATCGCTGAGGATGAGAATTTATCTCACTGGGAACACCATGAGTAGCCCAACGGGTGTGAGCAATTCCCACATGGCAGTCAGTGGAAGAATCGAAGTCCAACGTTTTTTCTTCTGTAAAATTATGTTTGTTTAGAGTAATTTTCACAGGAATTATTTTAAAGAAGTTTTTAAAATAAAGAATATGTGGCATCAAACGAATAAAAAGAATTACAACTTCAAAATTATTTTCTCTTTTGAAAATGAGAGATTTAGATTATTTTTTTTTTGAAGGAAAATTAAAAAAATGTAATATTACAAAGATGTCTCAATTATCTTCAACATAAAAATATTAAATTAAATGACAGTTTGAACAAAAGATTATTCAATTAACAAAACTAACACCAATTACACATAACTAGTGGTGCTACCAAATGGCAGAGACTTTCTCATACTTAAGTTTCCTAAATTCCTTGGTGTGGACTGGCTTTACAGTATTGCCCCATCCTCTGGCCAGCTGTCATCTATCGCCACCCAAAGTACATTTTTTTGACATTTTCTCAATTTTTCTGTTTCCTAATAGTAGAACTGAAATATTACTTTAAGAATATTAATGAAATGTAACACCTCGTCATAAATGGCAATTTCCATTGAAAAATTTGAAGCTTTTTTAAGAAAATGGTGTTTACGGTTTACTGTAAATGTGAAATTTGAAGTTCTTTTACTCAGAATATTTTTTGAGTTTTCAAAAATTTTTATTTAAACTCATTCAAGGCACATTAACTCACAAATGCTATAGTGCTCACAAAATGCTGGAAATTAGCATATTAATGGCGTGATAAGAGATATTTAAAAAAATAAAATAAAATTTGTTTAATTAAAAAAAAAATGAATAGAGCAAAATTAATTCTATGTCATTTTAAACAGAGCATTTATCTCTATATAAACAAGAAGTTTGAAAAAACAATTTGGAGCCATTTGTGATAAAATGGCTTTTGAGAATTTCTGAACAAGCAGAAATATGAGTTTATTTCCACAGAAAACTTATTTTCAAGAAACTTTATGACATTATTTAAAGCACATGTATTCATAAATACAACATTGTGAACAAATCGTTAATGAAAATATTATCGTCGTGAGAGACAAATCAATAAAACTAATATTTGTAATTTTGGAAATAAAAGAATAGTGCAATATGGCAATTATGTCATCGTAGTATGTTTAATACTCTCCATACCAAAAGTTAAAAAATGGAGCTGTTTTTGAGAAAATCTTAATTTTGTAATTTTTACTGTCTCGCGCTTCAGAAGGAACTTAATAAGAGAAAGTTATGTAATGCTGCGCTTAAAAACTACGAATTTTCGGCAGAAAAACTCTTATTACAGGGCCCTGGTAAGCAGAAAGTGGATAAATCCAGTTGATGAATTAAGAAAAAACTCCTCTAACACGTGGTGTAGCCAGAATCCAGGTTTTGTGGGTTCCTGATGCCGAAAAGTCGATTGACGCCAAAACGTCTGTCTGTCCGTCTGTGAGCAACGCTAGCAGCTAAACTGTTCGGCCGATTTTCTTCAAAATTTATATTTCCGATCTGGTTGATGTGGTGGCCCCCTGAATTTGAAATCCATATTTTAATTTTGGGGGTACTTAACATAAAGCCTCTGGAACATTTTCAAAATTTTCAAAAAATGGCGCCATAGATTTTGATTAAAAAAAAGTCTTCCTAAAACTAAAATATTAAAGGTAGAGATTTTTCCCTTAATAAAATCTGTTCGTTATTGATAGATTGTAAATAAGGTCTTGTACAATTTTTCAAAAATTTTAATATTTTTTGCGTTATTTAGGATGAAATATACGCAATTTATAATTGAGAACCCTGATTATTCGAAACTTGAAAATTCGAAAAAAAAAAATTCGGCGTCTTCCTACAACTACAATTATGAAGATACATTTTTTTCCTTTCTCCCCTTACGAATTCATCGTTAGAAGAGAAAGTTAGGTAAACGTGCGGCGGAAATCGACGAATTTTCGCCAAAAAAAGTATTATAGTCGGGCTCTGGTAACGAAAAAGTGGATAAATCCTGTTGCTAAATTTAGGGGGGAAATTGTCTAACACGTGGTGTAGCCAGAATCCATGTTTCGTTGGTCCTTGATACCGAAAATTTGATTGACGGCAAAACGTCCATCTGTGGTCAACGCTAGCGGCTAAACTGTTCCGGCGATTTTTTTCCAAAATAGATTTTCCTTAATGGACCTGCCTGATGTCTCGGCCCCTGGATTTTAAAACTGATATTTTAATTTTGGGGGTACTTTAAATGAAGTCCCTCAGACATTTTCAAAATATTAAAAAAAATACCTCAACATTTGTTGATTAAATTTTGTTGTTTAATAGTGCAATAGACTTTTAAGAGAATAGTGCAGGTCTCATTTTCGATATGATCCCCGATTTTTCCAAAATTGCAAAAAAATTAAAACTACAAAATTGTACAAAATTGATGATAGAGATTTTTGGTTCATACAAATTATGTTGTACATAATTAGGTATTTTAAAAAAATGTCTCGTACATTTTTTTTGTAAAAGTTAGTAGTTTTTGCGTAATTTGGGCTTGAAATTTACGAAAAAATTTCTCAAAAGCAGCTCCAAAGCACATACATTTACGTTTGATTTTAGAATTTGTTGTACCACAATTCTCAAATAAATCAAATATATGTGATTTTATTACAACCTGTCAGCCTTTTATTAATTCCTGTTTTATCCTTGATTGTATGTAACACCAAGACTACTTATAATCAATAAATAAACATTATTTATTTAATTATTGAACATCAAACATTTGTTTAACCTACATTATATTATTTAAAGAACTGATTTTACATAAAACAGCAAAGAACTTCAATAAGGTATATGTATGTAAAAAAAATAAAAATAAAAAAAATTAAACGGACAATGTGTTATAAAATGTCTACTTACTGGAGAAGATCTCGTCCTCGAGGGCCTTCACCTTGCCGCTCTTCTTGACGATGGCCATGTCCTTGCCGTCCGGGGAGTCGAGCGCCACCCCGGCGGAGTCATAGCCGCGGTACTCGAGTCTCTTCAGCCCGTTCACCAACAGCTCCAGGATCTCCCGCCGGGTCTTCGGGGTCAGGTAGTTCAGGTATGCAAAGATTCCTGCAGACAAGCGGAAAATGCACTCGGTAACTATTGGGCCCACAAACGTCTACACACAACAAACACTCACACTCACACTCACACACACACACACACACATTTTTCGTGGATGTGTGCAACACGTGGGTGTGGAGCTAATGATTTTATACACAACTCAATCATCATCCGAATTCATCACCATTTATCACCATTCCAGCCTCCAGCCGAATTCATCACCTTTCACCATTCATCACTATTCCAGCCACATGATTACCTCCACCATTACTAAGGCAAACTACTATTACCGTCGCGATGACGATTTGACGTCGCCTATCAAGTTAGGAATGCATTAAAGCGTAACCTGTCTCTCTCTCCTATGCTCGGTTATGATTTATGAGTGTGACTTACTCATACTATGAGTGTGACTTACTCACATTATCGATTTCGAAATCAAGAATGAATATACAATTGTTGCTTTAAAAATTGCTTACATTACAGATAAAAATAAGAGCAACGTTGATCTAAAATCATACGTACAATGTAGTTTTGTGGGTTTTTCAACCACTGTGGCCAAGCGAGCGAACGCAAATATGATTTTTTTTTAAATAATAAAGTATAGTGAAATTGCATAAATGTTTGAGTATTTTGGTGCGAATTTCATAACGCAACTTACAAACATACCTTCACTACATTATCCATCATTACGTACATTAGCATTTAAGACTATGTCGAAATAAAAATGTAAAAACTATATAACAAACTTGCAACTGGTTTCCCCCAATTTATTCTTAAAATTTCGTTCGATTGAAAAGTGATTCCGGGCGCGTCAACTGCTAAAGTCATTAGTCCCGTACGTGAAGTGCATGTATGTTGTTGTTTTTTTCCTGGAGGTGGCGGTGATCTTTCCCCGCTGGATGATGAGATCCGGCGCCGACTTGTCATCGGCTAGCGGGCTTTTCCTTAACCAGGTGTCTCCCACCAGCGGGATACCGCCCCAGCCGGTCTACACTCCCGCTCTACACTCCCGACTGGTCTCCTGACATGGGTGGTAGTGTAGTGAATGAGAGTGTAAGTACAAGGAGTGAGGATATGGCAAGAAAGAAGACTGAAAGATCGCAAGCGGTTCGTGGCCGGTTTGTTAGGGTTCTCCTCCAGCATTCACCTGATGATAATCGGAGAAACCATGGAAAAGTACCGATCAGAGCAGCCGGCCGCAAGAATTCTTCTCCAAACAACGACAGATCTCGACCCAGCTATTTGTCTAGTTTCCAAAATACTCCTATCGTCGGAACTCGAATCTAGGACCTCCTGGTCAGAGGCACTGCAGTGACATTAGTGGATAATCTGAGCCACATCTCCCGGTGAATTTTCGTTTGGGACTTACGACTTTTCAGCCAAGTAAAAATACCAACAATGATAAGAGGCCAGGAAGAACCCTACAATTACAATAATTTCCATAACTGTCCAGCGATCATTATTGGCATTTGTATTTAGCCATTATGTCCCGTAATGGGCAATTGGTCTCAGCGCCGTTAGATCCCGGGGTTCCTAGACGATCACCCGACCAAGAACCCGCGATATCTAGCATTCGCTTAACCTTGGTTACTTCACGTAGTTAATGAATTCGGTTAGAGACGCCGGTTTCGTGGACTTGACGTGGCCTTTTAGTTGAACCATCCCAGCATTCGCCTGCATGGCTGAGGGAAATCGCGCAAAACCTCCGTCAGGATGTCCCGCACGGGGATTGAACCCAAACCTCCCGAATGTGAAGTCAAGGTGGAAGGCCCTGAGCCACTTCGTTCAATAGCGATCATTATGGGAATCTTCAATTGGTTACAGGACTGAAAATGTCATCTGTAACTTTCAGGTACGTATTCTTTATAGATTCGTAAATACTGAGGACTCTTCCCTCCCAAAACAATTTTGGATAAAACGTGAGCCGTGATTTCCGTCACTGCTAATTGCACAGATTTCTCCCAATCGCTGTCAACAAGCTCGTACCATATCTCTATCAAGATTTTCAGTTCCTAAGACTTTTCGGCCATACCTAAGATGAATGGTTTGATGTATGGGTGATGTTGATAAGATTTAACTGATGGAGCAATTGTGGAATAAGCTGAGGAAGAGGCAGGGTAAATCTGAAGGGAATTCGATTTGACCACAACCAATTCCACATGGATCGACCGAAATTCGACCCCGGCACCCTGAGGTTATAGGTGCGTGGCATGCCCACAACACCGTCAGAGCTCGCCCCCCAATTCGTCCAGACAGCTCCGCGGGAGCAGGGGCGTCCCAAAGAGCGACGCCAGAGAGCGGCGCAGAGCTGCGCAACGCGTCTCATCGTCCGCCCCACAAAACACTTTCACTGCCTCGCCGCTGCGCGCCGCGATAAACGGGCGGGGCGACCGTCCACGACCACGCCGCCGTGGGTGCACTGGTACGGCATTACATAAACCAGTTATGCACGGCGCGGGCGGCGCAGTGAAAGTCTGTCGGAGGCGAAGAACGGGGCGGTGGTGGCGGAGACGGTGAGGGGGAGGCTGGGGGGTGGAGACACGCTGTGGGTCGCCTCCGAGCCTTCGAACCGAACCGAAGTCCCACCGTCTCAGCCCGGTTCGACACGTTCACCGCTGCATCCAGCTCAGCCTCCGACTACATGTTGCACCAGATAAAGATATTCAAGGGACAAACAACCACCAGAAGCAGACACCAACATTGAGGATGTCCATTGGAATATCATTTACATCGATTTATTAAAAAAAAATGTGTTGTGAGATAAGACGAAAGTCAACATCAACATTTGTGCATAAAGCAAGTATAAAATGCATCAAACATTACGAAACAAAAACGAATGTTTAGTAGTAATATTTTGTAGTACATGAACTGCATGACAAATAAACGCCATTTTCGTATTTTCTCTTAATCTTCCCATTTCGTGTATGTATTCCATTCACGTGCAGATGCAGATTTCCACACAGGTACATTCACTGAGTGACAATGTCAACGAATATTGGGAACGACCGTGAAAACATAATCCCCTAGCCAAAGAACCCTACTTTCCAACGTCCACTCCTTCGCGGTCGTTTAATGTTTCAGCACAGAACGACTACAAAACACAGAGGTGAGATGAAGCCAGAATGCGTGACAGTCTTCCTAGTTGTTTTACTGGCTGGAGTAAACATAAGCGTCTGCAGCCACAACCCAGCGAGTAAAACTGTCACAAACGAAATCCGATGGCTCCTGATTTTCGTTGGTATACATGCTTACGGTTACTCATACCTTAAAAGTCTGTACGCTTAACCCTGTTCCAAATAGGGGCATTTACAAAGCGTACCCTTACCCAAATAAAGCCACTTTCTCGCCAGGGCATAAGCGATCAAGAGTTAGGTCAGAAGGCGGGATGCACGGTAGTAGGGCGACAACACGAAACGCGGTGACGTCGAAAAGGCAAAACTGTGAAGCTGTGGGTGTCATTAGGAAATGGTTAAACAGGGATCGAGCAAATACGGACACTTAAAACTGCCGCCGGGTCTAAATGGGAAGAGTAGGTTAGTGTCGGATTGGGCGGGTTCGGGTCATATTGGGTCGGATCGGATTGAGCCGGATTGAGTCGGGTCGGGTAAGGTGGGATTGGGTTAGGTAGGGACGGATCGGGTCGGGTCGGGTCGGATCGGGTCGGGTTGGATCGGGTCTGGTCGGATCGGGTCGGATGGGGTCGGGTCGGGACGAATCGGATCGAGTCGGGCAGAGCCGGCCTTGCAGACCGCTACGCTGCCGGGTTGGGCGGGCGGTGTGCGCTGTACGCGCACCCAAGGTAAGCGGCATTCCCGGAGCGCCCCTCCCCCCTCCCCGCACTACCGACGCCGCACTCTCACGCACCGCACCGTAAGTGCCCGTTGAGTGCGGCGAGAAGAGCGCCCGGGCCGGCCGGCTGCGCCTCGCCTCGCGGGAGGTGACTGGGCGAAAACGCCGGCGGCAACAGCTACGTTTGGCAGCGGAGCGGGAGCATCGACGGCCGCAGGCGATTAACGTGTACGGGAAAATAACCGATGCCAACCGTCTGTAAGATAGGGTGCGTTGGTGCTTGTAGTTCTGACTTTCCAGTCGAAGCTTCTTACTTCGCAAGGTCTACGTTCGCATCCCATCGGTGGCGATCAGTAGACATCTGCGATCCAGTGAGTTGCACAATGCCTCTGCCTGGATGCAAATTGTACACGCTGATTGCTCTGATACGTCATTTACAACATTTTCTACGACCGATTCCACACTAACACCGGACCAATACCTTAAAAATCGCGCCAAGGATTGTGCACGATCCTTCCTTCCTTACCCTGCTCACACTCTTTCTTTGGTCTCCCAAATTTTCGATAGTCCATCCCTCACAGTGTGGCACTAATGCGACACATCCATGTCCTAGTACTATCAAAAAAGAGGGAAGGGACTGCTGAAAGGGGGGAGGGAGAGAGAGAATGAGAGAAAGGGAGAGAGAGAGCGCGCGAATTCCGCATATTTTATACTTATGCTGCCCCAAAAGTTATTTTCTACCATTTTTATTTGCAACTCTGCAATGTATAATAACTAACACTTTAACCATAGGAACTCGAATACTTTTCAGCCATGCACATTCTGACATGACTTTAGTTGCGCTCCATTTACAGTGCTTGTAACCGTGGCTGTCGCCACCACAGCAACTGCCATTCAATAAAGGTTACATTACATCGCTGAGCGTTCCTAGAATTTATCCCAAAGGCATCATTAACGCTTGGAGTCTTCTTCTCTCCATTCGTCGATTTATTTACTCCATATTGTTTACCTCTGAACTGTAGCCACCAAAATAACACAACATTCCCGATTCATTACCTTCGATTAAAAGTTAGGAACTTCATGTTTAAAAATAAAATTTACAGGTAAAATGTTCGTTTATTCACAATATGAAACTGCTTGAATCAAAAACGCTTCGTAGCATGAGTGGGTTTACTTAAAAAATCAATTCTAATAGCAATTACATTTCATCAGCAATG